GAGTGCGTTTATTTATTTTTTTATTGGTTTAAGAATTGGACCGGTGATCACCAACCCCTTCACAAAGCTATCCGATGTGCCTCCTGACTTCATTGCCATCAAATTCTTTGCCTCCTTTATTAGGACATGCAGCTCTCCTCCTTCCTCCACCCTGGCTTTTTTGTCTGAACAGGAGAACAGACGATCTCAGAAATTTGAAGCAAAGCCAGAGATAGAAACAGCCACTTTTTTTTACCTTTGGTTTTCTCAGCTGTTTGCTTTTTAGGTGTGACAAACTTCAAGGAGATAATCAATTCCCCTTTGTACTGAGCAAAAGCTGAAGGTGGCACAACAGAGGCTGGCTGTTTAAAAAGACAAAAAGAGTTAATTTGTACACATGCCAATGTACTAACATGGAAACTCAAACCTGTAAATATATGAGACAACATCTGTAACAGCCAGGCTCTTTTCTTCATAGCTAATCAATACTGTCGCTTTGATTTAAATTGATTGACATTTGGGCTGCTCACTCTGGTCTGTAATGTGCTTTTTTATTATTCTTGCTGCTTGCTGAAGCCATCATTTTGTCCGGTCTCCTGCACAAGGACACATGTACGTAGTTACTAAGATTCTCAGGTCTGCCGCTGCTTTCATCCAAATGCACTGATCTACAGGTCAGTAAGTTACAGGGCGTTTTCCCACCTGCAGTGTTTAGTCCATTTATGCTTTGTACTCTGTGGCAAGGGTCTGTATGGGCTAGCATCTAGCTGTGAAATAAATGTTTCATGTTCTCCAATAGTCCAGAACACAACACCTCCTTTCTGCATTTACTGTTGTTGCTTCTGCCACAGACACATCAGGCCAATGAGCAGACTGATTACTCTCTTTGTAGTGACGCATTTTGTTTTGCTTTGAGTGCACTAAGATTTTTTCTTTGTGTAAAAACAAATCAAATCACAGTGAAAAGCTACAAACTCATCAATGAATTCTGACCAGATTTAACAAACTATAGGTGTTAAAATGCCCTCAATGAAAAGCAGCAGTCCACAGAGGAAGACTGCTAGTGTGGATGCAGACAACGTGTAAAGCTTGTTCACTGTGGCTTTATCTCTAAGTAATAAAGAAAAATAAATC